AAAAAAATATATATATATATATATATATATATATAAAACAGCAAGAAGAGTTGGGCAGTGTAAGTAGAGATGTCAATTCTAAGAAACAAGAAGAAATGCTAGAGAGAACAAAAACAGTGTAACAGAAATGTTTTTTGTGGGCTTATTACTAGAGTGGAAACAGCTGAATAAAGAATTTCCAAGCTTGAGAATATATCAATAGAAACACCCACAACTAAAAATCAGGGAATGAAGACAGGAAATTAAAAAAAGATGTAAGAACTGCAGGACACCTACAAAAATTGTAACATATGAATAATGGAAATACCAAGAGAGAAAAGAACAGAATATCTGAAATAATGACTGAGAATTTCTAAAATTAACTTCAGAAATCAAAGTACAGATCCCAAAGGCTCAGCAACACAAAGCAGGATAAACACACACACACAAAAACAAACAAACCTACACTTAGGCGCATCATTGTTAAACTATAGACTATTAAAGAGAACCAAAAGAAAAAAAAAATCCTAAAAGAAACCAGAAAGAAAAAATGCTTTAAATATAAAGGCTAAGAATTACATCGAACTTTTGAGCATAGGAGAAAAAAATAAGTAAAGGTAAAATAAACATTTTTGTTTTTGAGTTGGAGTGTCACTGTCACCCAGGCTAGAGTGCAGTGGCACGCTCACGGCCACCACATCCTTGACCTGCTAGGCTCAGGTGATCCTTCTGCCTCAGCCTTCCAAGTAGCTGGAACTACAGGCATACGCCACCACACCTGGCTAATTTTTTGTTTTTTATTGTGGAGATGAGGTCTCGCCAAGTTCCCCAGGCTGGTCTCAAACCCACGGGCTCAGGCAATCCTCTCACCTTGGCCTCCCAAAGTGCTGGGATTATAGGCAGGAGACACCGCACCCAGCCAAAATAAACATTTTTATCTTTCTAATTCTTTTTTTTTTTTTTTAAGTCGGAGTCTCACTCTGTCGCCCAGGCTGGAATGCAGTGGCACACTCACGGCCACCCCAGCATTGACCTGCCGGGCTCAGGCAATCCTTCCACCTCAGCCTTCCAGGTAGCTGGAACTACAGGCTCGTACGACCACACCCGGCTCATTTTTTGTTTTATTGTAGAGATGAGGTATCACCAAGTTCTTACCTTGAACCCCTGGGCTCAGGTAATACCCTGGCCTCAGCCTCCCAAAGTGCTGGGATTACAGGCTTGAGCCACCATGCCCAGCCTTATCTTTCTAATTCTTAATTTCTCTGACAGGTAGCTTCCTAAAAATAGTTACAATGTATTAGATTACATATGCTGGCTGTGTGTGTGCGCGCGCGCGTGCATATAGGTGAAGTGAACACAGCAATAGTGGAAGGAATGAGAGGGAGAATTTGGGACCAATTTGATATTATAAGGTACTAACACCACTCATGAAGCAGCACAGTACTATAAATATGAGACTTTATGTAAATATTATGGCATGTGAAGTATTTAAAGATTATACCACATTCCATAATTTCCCAGGGTTTTGAGGTAATCTTAGATGTATAAAAATAATTTTGTGGAATGAGAGGTTTCCTATATGCCTTACTAGAAGTAGACTTCTCTCCAGTCTGACTTCTTATACCTTCTATACAGTAGAAATATTAATGTAAGCTCTTTCAGTTCTCATGAATTTTTCAGTCCACTCCAAGTTTCTGCATGGTCTATAAGGTCACATTCCTTACTTTAACAGAAAGAAAAGCTTTCTTGCCTTTATCTTTCTTTACTTTTTCCCCTTTACTTTCATTTGGTCTATTGCCAGATGACCTGATATGAATATGAAAATGTAACAAACACTTATGAGATTTTTCATGTGCCTTATATTCACAGAATTTCTTTGTGTGATTTTTTCACATGTTCAGAAAGGGCTGAAGAGTCAGACATGAAGGCTTCCCCCCATTTCTTACATTCATGTGGTTTCTCTCCAGTGTTGCTTTGCATGTGACTATTAAGGCTTTTGGACAATCTAAACGTTTTAGCTTACTGTATTCATTTGTTATAGCTGCCATACAAAATACTACAGACTGAGTGGCTTAAAAGAAATTTATTTGCTCACAGTTCTGGAGACTGGAAGTACAAGGTCAAGCAAGTAAGGTTAGTTCCCTGTGAAGGCCTTAATGAATGGATCTGTTCTAGCCTTATGTCTTTGGCCTGCAGATGGCCACCTTTTCATGACTTCACAGGATCAGTATGTGTGTTCCCGCTGGGTCTTTTGCTTCTTCTTATAGGAACACCAGTCCTACTGGATTGGGGCCCTACCCTAACAGACTCACTTTAATTAAATACTTTTCATAGGGTTTCTTTCACTTCATGTCTTTGAAGTGAACTGCAACATATGAGGACTTTCCCACATTGGTTACATTGATAGGATTCTCACTAATGAGTTCTTTCATGTCTTTTAAGTGAACGAGGATGCCTGTAAGCTTTTCCACATTGCTGACATTTATAGGGCTTCTCTTCAGTATGTGTTCTTTCATGAATTCTAAAGGAACTGGAACATATGAAGGCTTTTCCACACTCTTTACATTCATAGGGTTTCTCTCCAGTGTGAGTTCTTTCATGTATTTGAAATGAACTGAAGTGACTGAAGGCCTTCCCACACTGTTTACACTCATAAGGTTTTTCTCCAGTGTGGATTCGCATGTGAATTTTAAGGTGGGTGGAATAGTTAAAAGTCTTCCCACATTCCTTACATTTATAAGGTTTTTGAGCACTGTGAGTTCGCATGTGATTATTAAGACATGAAGGATATCCAAATACTTTCCCACATATCTTACACTCACAGGCCCTCTCTTCGGTGTGAGTTCTCAAATGTCCACTAAGATTTGAGGAAATAGCAAAGGCTTTTCCACATTCAACACATACAAAAGGCTTCTCCCCAGTGTGAGTTCTTATATGTTGTATAAGGCGTGAGGATGTAAGGAAAGATTTCCCACATTCCTTACATCCATAAGGCTTGTCTCCACTATGAGTTCGTACATGTATACTAAGGCCTGAGTACTGAGTGAAGGCTTTTCCACATTCCTTACACACATAGGGCTTCTCTCCAGTGTGAGTTCTTCCATGAATTTGAAATGAATTGGAATAATTAAAGGCTTTCCCACATTCCTTACATTCATAGGGTTTCTCTCCAGTGTGGGTTCGCATGTGAATATTGAGGTATGCAGGATATCTATAACCTTTTCCACATTCTTTACATTTGTAGGGCTTTTTTGCATTGAGGGTTTCTATAAGCACAGAAAGGCTTGTGGACTGAATAAAACCTGGTCCATATTCCTTCCATTCATAGAATTTTTCTCCCTTGTGAGTTCCTATATGTGCTTGAAGGTATGACTGATTAATGAAGGATTTCCCACAGTGATTGCATTCAAAGGATTTCTCTTGCATGCTAGTTCTCTGGTACAAAATATTTGATGTCAGGTTGAAGATTTTTCCACTCTGATTAAACTCAGAAAGTTTCTCACCAGTAGAAGTTTTCTTGTGCAGAATTAGAAAGTCTTTTCCATACTGATCATAGTCATAAATGTCCCCTGTATTTTGAGTTTTCATGTGTGTCTTAAGGCATGAGTATTCACTGAAGACTTCCCCACACTGCTTATTGTCGCAGAGTTCCCCTCCATTCTGACTTCCTTCCTGTTGATGAAGGACGAATGAAGGTTTAAGGATATTTTTAAAAAAACAGTAATGGATTCCACCCATCTAAAGACAGAAACATGATTATTATTAATGTACAACATTTTCATTACATGCCAGTTCCTGCTCTGTTGACTTCTTTCAAGTGGTATGACAACTCTTATTCCAGAAGGTTATGTCATCTACTCTATTCCCAGAGGGGTTACTGTATAATTCCAATAAATGGTTTTTAAAACTCAGTGTCTAGTTACATATGTGGGAATTTGTACTTATGGGAACTCTGAAGAAACAAGTTTCACAAAAAGTTTGGAGTTCTGTCAAATTCATCACTCCCTCTTGTGTGTACATGTTACTTTTCTCAACTATCTCTCATTTTGGCTGATTTCCCATAGTGAAATTCCCAATTTTCTTTGAGGGTGAAAAATAAGAAATATCCCATATTAATCTTACCGTTTGTATCCCAATAGATGTTTCACCCTCTGAAAAGTCCTGCTCAAGTGCTGACAATTTGGTTTCAAGTGGCATTTCCCATCCTGAAATAAAACAGAAAAATAAATGCAAAGATATGGAGGAAAAATAGAAGACTGAGGAGTTAAAAAGGATAAGGCTCATTTGTTTTCAAGTTAAACATGGTGAGAAAAAGTAAAGATCTGAGGATTGTGGCTATGTCAAAGACAAAGACAAAGGTGTAAGGTAAAAATTTTAGATAAGTTTATTACAAAATGATTCTATGAAAACTAAAACTAATGCTGAAGAGAAAGAGAATATGAGGGAATGAAAGGAAATTTCTAGAAAAACAGTATACACCAAAACAAGACATTTAAGAGTTTGAGGACAGTAATCCCCCACTTATCCACAAAGGATATGTTCCAAAATCTTCAGTACATACCTGAAACTACAGATAGTACTATATTTACTTTTATTTTTTTTAATCTGGTAAGTGAGATAGCTACTAAGTGACTGACAAGCAGGTAATGTATACAGCATGGATACCCTGAACAAAAGGATGATTCACAACCCAGGGGGATAATGCAAGATTTCATCATGTTACTGAAAAGGGCAAGCAATTTAAGACGTATGAATTGTTTATTTCTGGAATGTTTGTTTCATGTATTATTTTCAGACCATGGGTAACTGAAATTGTAGAAAATGAAACCACGAACAAAGAGGGGCTACCATATAAGTAAAAGAATGTGGAAAGTTGAATATCTCCTAACTTCTGAAATAAATGGTCTCAACTTTCTGAGATAAAGTGCATCTTAAAAAGTTTTCTCCTGACCAGGCTCGGTGGCTCAACCTGTAAACCCAGCACTTTGAGAAGCCAAGGCGAGTGGATTGCCCGAGTCTGCGGGTTCAAGACCAGCCTGGGCAACTTGGCGAGACCTTGGCTCTATGATAAATCAAAAATTAGCTGGGTGTGGTAGTGTGCACCTATAGTTCCAGCTACTTGGAAGGCTGAGGCGAAAGGATGGCCAGAGCTTAGCAGGTTGAGTGTGCCATGGCACTCCAGTCTGGGCGACAAAGCGAGACACCAACTCAAAAAAAAAAAAAAAGTTTTCTTCTGTCAGGGACAGTAGCTCACGGCTGCAATCCCAGCACGTTGGGAGATCAAGGTGAGAGGACTGGCTAAGACTAGGGGTTTGAGACCAGCCTGGGCAACTTGGTGAGACCTCGTCTCTACAATAAATAAAAAAATTAGCCAGTTGTGGTGGCATGTGCCTGTAGTTTCAGCTATGTGGAAGGCTGAGGCAGAAGGATAACCTGAGCACAACAGGTTGAGGTTGCGATAGCCTTGAGTGTGCCACTGTACTCCATCCTGGTCGACAGAGTGAGACTCCGACTCAAAAAAAAAAAAAAGTTTTCTCATTACACTTGTAAACACACTGAACTTCTCATTAACCAGGGTGATTGTTCATGAACACTCACCTTGGAGAACTCCTCCCTGTACTGTTCTCGACTCTTCTTGTTCTAACCAAGAGATCAGACTGGGTTTGATGATCTGACATCCTGAGTACAGGGAAACAAATTAATGGGAAACGCTCATGCAAGAGATAACAAACCTTCCTGTGATTCAGTAACTATAGTCCTGATGAAACCAGTGAAATTTTTTCAAAATGTCTAAGAATGCAAATAACGCTTCTGCCTGTATACCTCAAAAGTTTAGTTACCTCATCCTCCAAGGCCCAAATTCAGGTTTATGTACACATTTTACAAAGCACTAAGGCTTTTACTCAAATGGAAAATAAAGGAAGTATAACAAATATATCTTCACTCTTCTGGGGACACGACTACACTAAGGTTCTCAAAATATTATTTGTGCATCACAGTCATCTAGAGGACTTGTGGAAACAACAGCTGACTAGGTTCCCACTCCAGATTCTGATTTATAATGTCAAAGGCAGAGAAAGAAAATTAACATTCCTAACTGACTGAAGATGCTGCTGACAGTGATCTTGGACCATATTTTGAGTATGACCATAGTAATTTAAAACCTGTGCAGGAGCTGTGTCTCTGTTATTTCCCATTGTATTCAGAGTTGAATTTACTGATACTGCAACACAGTAGTAAGTAACATATATCAGTTCCATAAGAGACTGCAATAAATGATGCCATTCTTACCTACTGTGGCCAAGTTTTTGTAGTTCTCCATCATCACATCACTATATAGGTGTCTCTGAGATGTGTCCAGTAAAGTCCACTCCTCCTGAGTGAAGTCCACAGCCACATCGTCAAAAGTCACTGAATCCTAAACCATCATACACGTGCTGGTTTGAGTCATGTAACATCTCTACCAATATTCACTGGAGAATGAGGAAGGGGTACACAATGCCTATAGAGGGTTTATTTATTTTTTTAATTTTAGAAAAATAATTTAACTTCTTTCAAGAAAAAGTATACAGGATTTCAACATCTGCAATGATCAACTCCAAGGTTCAACGGTCCTAGAAACTCTTCTATCTAAACACACTCAGTGGCTGGGCTCAGTGGCTCAGCCTGTAATTCCAGCACTTTGGGAGGCTGAGGAGAGTGGACTGCCTGAGCCCACGGGTTTGAGATCAGCCCGGGAAACTTGGCAAACCCTCATCTCTACAATAAATTTTTAAAAAATTAGCTGGGCATGGTAGCAAGCACCTGTAGTTCCAGCTACTTGGAAGGATGAGGCGGAAGGATCGCTGGAGCCCAGCAGGTTGACGCTGGGGTTGCACTCCAGCGTGGGTGACAGAGTGAGACTCCAACTCAAAAAATAAACAAACAAATAAACAAACAAACTCATTATAATCTCCTCCAGTCATATGGCTTTAATGGGACTTCTTGATTATAAATTTCTCTTACACAACCAGACTAGGAGATCTTGTCTTAGGTCCATCAATTTCAACACAATGCTCAGCACATTCCAGAAAAGTAGTCAACACTGATGAACAAATAAATTATTTCAACAAAGGATACTATCACCTGCCTTACCACCTGTCAGAGCACCCAGGAAAATAACAAACATGTAGTCAGCATAATAAGGGCCAAGATTAATTAATAATTACTGAAATACTGAGATGATTTTCAAGTTAAGAGCTCATCTATATGAAAGGCACTGTTCCCTGGAGAAATTCAATCAGTGATTCAGTCTACGAGTGATTCAGTCCTCCTGTGAGGCTTTATTTGCTTTAAAAACTTCTGTCTAGAACAGGGGTATCCAACCTTTTAGCTTTCCTGGGCCACTTCAAGTAAAGGCAAATTGTCTTGGGCCACACATAAATTATATAATATAGTTAGTGTATATATTATATTATATAATATATATATTATATAATTTATATATTATATATATATAAAAGACCTACTTTTATAAACATTTTTTATTATAAAGCTTAGAAAAATGAGAACAATATAAAACTAGTAGGAAATTTGACCTTGTTTTTATAAAACAAATCTACCAATGTCTAGTTCGATGCAAGTGCTTGCAATTCTTACTGAGTTCTCAAGGCGTTTGTCAGAAATGTATGTTCAAATTTTGTTCTTCATGTGCTTCATAACTGAAAACAGCTGCTCACAAATGTATGGGCTGCCAAAAAGCGGTGTCATGAATAAGGCATTATTGTGAAGGGATATATTTCTCTAGAAAGATAGGTCTTATAAAAGTCTAATAAAGACATGATCAAATTTTCTTTCAGTTGAATGTCTGACTGCAACTCTATGTATTCCATTTGAAAATTTGTGCGCTGGGCGCAGTGGCTCACACCTGTAATCCCAGCACTTTGGGAGGTGGAGGCAAGGGAATTACCTGAGTCCAGGGGTTTGAGACCATCTTGGGAAATTTGGCAAGACCTCATCTCTACAATAAATCAAAAACTTAGCCAGACGCAGTGGCACATGCCTATGGTTCCAGCTACTTGGAAGGCTGAGGCGGAAGGATCATCTGAGCCCAGCAGGTTGAGGCTGCAGTGGCCATGAGCACACCACTGCACTCCAGTCTGGGCATTAGAGTGAGATTCTGACTCAAAAAATAAAATAAAAAATAAATAAATAAAAAAAATTTTCAGACAAAATACTAATGTTAACTAAACATGGTGTAGCAAATAGTGACTATTTTGCTGGAAATCTTGAAATCTCTTTAAGTAAAGCTGCACGTTTTTGGCAGTTCACAGGACTGCGGTTAGCCAATGTAACAAAATGTGTTAGATTATTTTCCATACGTGTACTTGCCAAAATTTAAGTTTCATGTCAAGTGCAGTATTGCTTTAGAACTTCAAAAATGGATCTATGCATGCCATCATGGAGAAAACAAATGCTAAAAAGCACATGATGTTAAAAGATTTTGTTGGGCTTGGTGGCTCAGTCTGTAATCCCGCGCCTTGGGGAGGCTGAGGTGAGTGGATTGCCTGAGCCCGTGGGTTTGAGACCCGCCTGGGCAGCGAGACCTCATCTCTATGATAAATAAAAAAAAAAAAACCGGCCGGGCGTGGTAGCGCATGAATGTAATTCCGGCTACTTGGAAGGCTGAGGCGGAAGGATCGCCGGAGCCCAGCAGGTCGAGGCTGCGGTGGCCGGAAGCGGCCACTGCACTCCAGTCTGGGCAACAGAGTGAGACTCCAACTCAAAAAAAAAAAAAAAAAAAAGATTTTGTGGGGTGTATTATTAGCTGTTCTGGATTGCATGTGGCCCATGGGACTGCACATGCCTGGTCTAGAAGGAAACATGTCTACCTGATGGATGCAAGTATTCCATTTTGTACAAGGACAGTTACTTTTACCTGATAATAATTTGTCAGGCAGTCGGTCACTATCCTTTCTGCCACTGTCTTTTCTTCATGAAGACAGACTGGATTCCCAGAGAAACAACCTCCTGGAAAATAAGGAAGGCATGAGAACTCCAAGCTGATCATAAGTCTCACATCCACATGCCTAGAATTCATTCCATCCTACCATGAAATTCCCATATACTCCTACACAATCAAGAAAATGAACCCATATACAATCTACTGCCATACAATACCAGAGCTATCCTGTCTCACCTTAAGCCAGAAAAGGTGATAGTGAATCATGCTGCCTGTCAGGAAAAGTATAGTGGTCTTATTCTACAGATAAGGAAACCTTTACACCCCGAAAGACATAACTTTATCATGCTGATAAAACTGTTGACAAAACCCATGACAAAAACTCATGATGTGTGGGTTTGAGACCCTCCTGGGCAACTTGGCGAGACCTCATCTCTACAGTAAATCAAAAATTAGCCGGGTGTGGTAGCGCGCACCTGTACTTCCAGCTACTTGGAAGGCTGAGGCAGAAGGATCGCCGGAGCCCAGCTGGTCGAGGCTACGGTGGCCGGGAGCGGCCACTGCACTCCAGTCTGGGCGACGGAGTGAAACGCCAACTCAAAAAAAAAAAAAAAAAAAAGAACTTACGATGGCGACTATACAGCACCTCTTCCCAAAGCATACAGAGCAGGAAGCTGACTTCAAAACAGCACATTGGGACACTTCAGCACCATCTAAAGGAACCAGCAGCAGTCTGACTATTCAGCTCAGGCTACTGGACTATGTATAATTTAGGGAGAGCCTAGAGCATCAACAGAACTTACCATGGGACAGATCGATAGCTGCCATCCTACAAGGAGAGGATGTGCCTGAATCCTCCTTTCATGGATGAAAACATCACTTCAGGGCAGCTTATGAATCTAATTGCATAGTGGCAATCTTCATTCCTCTTTGTACAGGGTAATTTGGATTCCTGTTGATATGAATCATTTATAATAGGTGAAATTTATTCATCAGTCATCAATCATCACTTTTTTTTGAGTCGGAGTCTCACTCTTTTGCCCTGGCGGGAGTGCAGTGGCATGCTCATGGCCACTGTAGCCTCAACCTGCTGGGCTCAGACAATACTTCCACCTCAGCCTTCCAAGTAGTTGAAACTACAGGCATGTGCCACTACATCCAGCTAATTTTTTTATTTATTGTAGAGACGAGGTCTCGAACCCCTGAGCTCAGGCAATCCTCTCGCCTCAGCCTCCCAAAGTGCTAGGATTACAGGCTTGAGCCACCATGTCCAGCAACTTCTATTTTTAAAAAATGGATATATAATCTATGTACATTAAAATGAACACATCTTAAATATTCATTGGAGGAGTTTTAACAATTGCATATACTCCTGCAATGAGCTAAAACAAGATAAAGAACAAAATTATCTCCCCAGAAAGCTTACTGCCCCCTTCCATTTTCTGTCAGCCCAACAAGCACTCTGTGATTTCTTTCAGCTACTATATACAATAATCTGAATAAAAACATTAGGCATATTGCTTATCTTTTTCAAATGTGTGCCCTAACTTGTTTTTTCTCTATTGTATAAAGAAGCAATATAGAAATATGTTGACATCTCCCACTGGAGATTTGTCTATTTATCCTTGAGTGTCTATGAAGCATTCCTTTATACATTTTATTAAGAATACTATTGAGCAGACAACACATTTTGATTTTTAATATTTTTGGAGAAACAAACATTTTATATTAGTGAACTCTATATAAATCTCTAGGAAAGCTTTATGACAATGTAGTGTGATGTGAAGAACCCTATTTCTTTTGTAGAAATTTTGCATTCATGGGTGCCACTGTTTCTTTTGGATGCCAATGTTCACCAGTACCTGGTACAGAGACTGATTCACCATCTCCAACAAGGTCTGAAGCACAGTTGAGGAGAGGAAACCCCTACAGGTTTGCCTTCCTTTGAGAATGTCAATTATAGAAGTTCTCCTTACATCTTTATGTTAAACTTCCATTTAAATCAAGGTGTGACATCTGTTTTGTGACTGAACCTAGATTTACAGTATTGAAACAGATTGATCTCAGTAGTAAGGCTTGTCAAAATGAGATTTGGGGATTGTTTTGGTCAAGACTTTAGGCTTCGAAAAGAGCTAAGCTTGTTACCAATGGGAATGACATCCAGTGGCATCACTTTAATCAAGGCACTACCTAGGCTTGACTGTGATGAAGCCAACTGAGGAAGTCTAAGTGAGTATCACAGTTAACCATTACAGTAGTAATAAGGACTATAAGGATTTGAGTATATTTACATTGAAAATGACAACCTCAGATCTTCTCACAGTCAAACCCACATTTGAGAGTCAGAGAGCTTCCATGGCAGCCTCTAAAAAGATATATTTCCTGTCGGGTGTGGTGGCTCATGCCAGTAATGCCAGCACTTTGGGAGGTCGAAGTGGGAGGACTGTTTGAGCCAGGAGGTCGAGACTAGCCTAGGTAACATAATGAGAACTCATCTCTACAAAAAATAAAAAATGTTAGCCAGGCATGGTGGCATGGGCCTGTAGTCACAGCTACTTGGGGGGCTGAGGTGGAAGGATCGCCTGAGCTCAGGAGTTGAGGCTGCAATGAGCTGTGATCATATCACTGTACCCCAGCCTGCATGACAGTGAAACCCTGACTCAAAAACAACAAACCCTACATATTTCTTATTTTCACAGGACCGATACTGTTGAAGGTCTAACACAAAGTTTAATTTAAAAGGTTAAACTAAGCCGGGTTCGGTGGCTCAGCCTGTAATCCTGCGCCTTTGGGAGGCTGAAGTGAGTGGATTGCCTGAGTCTGTGGGTTCGAGACCCGCCTGGGCAACTTGGTGAGACCTCATCTCTACAATAAGTCAAAATGAGCCAGGCGTGGTATCGCGCGCCTGTAGTTCCAGCTACTTGGAAGGCTGAGGCGGAAGGATTGCCGGAGCCCAGCGGGTCGAGGG